AGCCTCACAGAAAAAAGTGGAACTTGAAGAAGGATTTAAATCTTAGCTCAAGAAAAGATTGTCCATATCTGGGAACAGTGTAGAAAGAAATTCAGAGAGTCAGGGTGTAGGAAATGGATAAAATGGACAATGTGCCATTGATGGAACAGAGTGGGGCACCATCAGTAAAAGTACAGGCCACTGGCAGACATGGAGGGGGGGGACCCCAAAATATATCACCATACTGAAAGAGGAAGTATGATAGACCCAGCTGTTCAGCATCTGTATAGATCTGGCACTTCAGCAGGGCTTTCTGGCACTTTTATTGAATCAGCTATTAGATTAAAGCACCAAAAAGCCCCTCTGAAACACCCGATTTGTAGAGAAGTCGGGTGAGCTGGGTCAACCTAATGTGATGCCTCTTCTGGGCATGTGCTGTGTTCAGCATGGGGGCATGCTGAGTTTAAAGTAAAGCACCATTTTGCAGTGGGGTGTGGAGGATTAACGTCTGTAAGCAGCCACAGAATGGAGCAGAATTATGTAGGACCCTGAAGGAGATGACAAGAGGATTGAAATAAATGCACTGGAGCTAGTGAAGGTTTCCTGGTCATATTAAGGGACAAAAATGGTGATCTTTGCATTTTGTATGGATTGGAGTAGAGTTGTGTTTGTCAGAGGGAAGTGCTATAATCAAGGCAGGAAGAAATGTTTTTTGCTTTCTGGATAGAGATGAAGGGTCAGGTCTTAGAAATGTTGTGGAAGGGAAAGTAGCAGGGTATGGGCACATTTTATTTATCCCCAGTTTGTACCAGTGCTTAGTATGTTTTGTTTCTGTTCACCAACTTGCATTGTTCTGTCATATTTGGAGGCTAAGTTGTCCGAGGCAGTTATATTTTTATTTAATTTTTTTTGGTCATTTGTCAGTTATTGTACTTAACATACCACGATGCTGATTCTCTATAATTCAAATAGGAAAAATAATCCAGGGTCCTCTACTGTCAAATGGTCACATTTACTAGGTATTAATTTTAAAATTTAATGGGGATAGAATATAATTGCAAAACCTCTTCTTCGTTATCATCCATGGATCTTCAAGAACTCTTTCATATATCGTACTGAATCAGAATTTTAAGTAAAGGAAATCTACACCTAGATAAGACAGTGACTGCTCTCGCCAGAATGGTTAATGTTATCCCATTAGCGGATGTCTACATCAGAGCCTTAGAGTCTGAAACTTCAGAAAATCTCCGTGATGTTACCTGCGAGTCTTCTCACCCTCCCCTCTCCTGCTGCAAGTTGGATCTCCCTTTTTCCATTACTACTCCTTTTGCAGAAGTATTGTTTAAGAGGTTATGAAGAGGTGAGCTCATCTTGGTACTGTTTGACCAGGCGTGTGGGTGAAGGGAGGGATAAAAGAGTAATAGTATATTGACAAATTTGAACTTCTGTTTTCCTGAACTCATGATAGCATAATATAAGTGGTAGTAAATAGTTACAGAAAAGGTGGACTATGGCAGGCAAAGTTTCCATAAAAGAATTAATTTGTTGGTAAGTATAGGAAAGAAAATCATGTTTGAAATATAAATGCTGTTATTCCTTATTCTTAGTCTGGTTTCAAAAAAATACTGTCCACTCCTGTTCTCCAAAATGCTATGATACATATAAATACATACTTTTAGAAATCCTGTCACTAATAAATAAGTGTTATATATTCCAAAGTTCTTTCAATTGTGCTTGATAAAAATCTAAGAAATTTTAAATTACTCAAATAGACAGCGTTTAAAATTGTGTGGTCAGAGGTGGCTGGAAATTGTTCATTTCCGGCAGGAAAATGGACTGTTCTGGTGATCAATAACTCAGTGTCTCATGGAAGGTGTAGTTCAGGTGCCCTATGCTTCCTACTTTCTTTGGGGACCAGTCCTTTGTGACAGCATACTTCCCATAGTGTACCATAGTGTTCCCTTACAGAGCTTGATTTATAGTGAAAAACTGGAAACTTTATTGCAAAAATTTGAAATTTTACATGGGAAACACTCTAATCATGGAAATTTCCAATTTAGTTGAAACTCCCTATTTTGTCCAAATCATTAATGAAGGTGTTGAACAATACCCGATGAAGGACAGACTTATGAAGAACGCCACTTGATATCTGCTCCCAACTAGACACTGAACCTTGACAACTATTCGTTGAGCATGATGATCCAACCCATTATGTATCCACCTTATAGTACTTCTGTCTAGTCTGTATTTCCTTAGTTTGTTAATGATCATGTTGTGCGAGAACGTGTCAAAAGCCTTGAGAAAGTCAAGGTATATTGTATCCACTGCTTTCCCTCCCCATCCACAGAGCCTGTCACCTTATCAGAGAAGGAAATCAGGTGAGTCAGGCAGGATTTCTCTTGGTGAATCCATGCTGGCTCTGTCTGATGCCCTTGTTCTTCTCCAGGCGCTTCACAACAGATTCCTTGAGGACTACTCCATGATCTTTCTGGGTATCAAGGTCAGGCTGACTGATCTGTAATTCTCTGGATCCTCCTTCTTCCCTTTCCTAAAGATGGTCACTGTTTGCTGTTTTCCAGTCATCCTGGACCTCACCCGACCTCCAAGAGTTCTCAAAGAGAATAGCCAATGTCTTCAAAACTACCTTGGCAAATTTCTTCAGTACCCTTGGATGTATCTTATCTGGCCATGCTGTCTTAAGCTACTTTATTAGCCACCAGTCAACTTAGTCCTTAGCCAAAATAATGTTTTGCCATCCTCTGTAGGGGGGTGCATGCCCCTCTTCCTTGGATCTCGCATGTGTATTTTAACAACCTTTTCTGCAGGAGTATGGTGGCTACTATTGTGCCCCTGCTTTTCCTGTGGAAGGTTATGCTGATATGCCTTGTGGTTGTGTGACAGCACTGACTGTGTAGTTTTAATAATGGATTAGACAAGGATTTTTATGGGATGGTTTGATTAGGGATGATCCTGCCTCAGGTAGGGGTTGGACAAGATGACCTCTGGAAGTCCCTTCCATTCGTGGATGGTTATAGGATTTTGAAAAGGGCAGAGCGGATGGTGTGGTGCTTCATCATATATAACACAAAACACATTTTTCTCCAATGTAATAGAAATTACAAGCTTTATTAAAGCAGGAGTATTAGGACTATATTATTCAGTTCAGTACTGAAGCAAAAACAATTTTAACTTTATTGTGCATTAATTTTGCTATATGATACATTATGCATAAAACACAATAAGGTAGGCGCAAATAATCAAAATATGTTGTTTCGTTAGCTCTGTAGTCATTGCAATCAGATGTACAACTCTTTCAGTTCCATAAAAGAAAATCTAGACTTCTTGAGCATCTTGACAGTACACCCAGTGCTTCACTGAAAGTTATTTCCTTACCCGAGTAAAGGTTTCCACACCTGAGTTACTGTTTTTAGCTAGAGTTAAAAAATAATATGCAGTGCTGTGAAGTAGGAACTACATTATCAAAAGCAGCTAACAGACCACAGAATTGTAGAAGAAAAAGATAGTCTGATTAGTAGTACCTCAAGTCCATTAACAAGAAGTTGGGGATATAAACTCCTGTAGAATGAAGAGTTTAGAGGAATCAGGTAGACAATGAGTCATCAAATCAAGTGACTCCCTCACTGCTGCCTGAATAGAAATGCTGTTGCTATTGCAAGGCTTTAAATTTTGGGTGAATCGGGAATTAAAGTGGGGTGCAACCGCACCACTGCATCCCCTCCCAGAATCTGCTGCTGCTTTCATCTCTGCTTGGACTGTCAACCTATGTCTTCTCTTTTGTCTCAAGTGTAAAATACATCCCATTAGTTTATATGCTTTAACCTCCAAATGTCTTCTAAATTACTTCTGCTTTAAAATATCAGCCAATTTTCTCTTATTGGAAAAATGTATTGCCCAGACCTTTCAGAAGAAAATATGCGCATGTGCATGCATGCATGCATGCACACGCGCGCACGCGCACACACACTTTTTCTTTTCAAATTCATGTATAAGTCTTAAGGTATTTATATATAAAATGTGTGTACATAACCTACACACAAATTTAAAAAAATGTTTTAGCTTGGCCCCCTGAAACAACCTTTTTATGTGAATTCAGCTTGCCTGAAAACATGTTAATTTTAAAAATGTAATTGAATCAGCAGCTTAACATATTTACTTGTCTAAACTTGACTTTCACATGAATTCCGAAGAAAAAGTGTGCAAATCTGCCTCGTGTAATGAGCAAAATGAATCTTTTGCTAATAAAACAACTATGCTACACACAGCGAGTTATTTATCTAGGCAGGATGAGATATGAGTTTTTACATAATTTCTTTTTTTCCTTTTTTTTTTTTTTTGGTTATAAAAAAAAAAAATTTCAAATGGAGATATTGTGAGGACTTTTATGAAAAATTCAGTATATAGGTGAGGCTATCTGGTAACACTCAAGTCTTAGCCCTGTTGGTGTAATAGTTTTACTGTGACTAAATGTTATTCTTCAGGTGCATGTAATTAACTGAACTTGGGCCAAGTAATTTTGCCTTTTCTTGTTAATGCCAGTTACTGATACTTGAATCCACGTTTCTGGGTGTAATACTCTGTCTGGTATAGACAAATGCATTTCTGATAGGAAAACTTTCTCTTCTCTTCTTATGTCTCTTTTTCTCTTTGTGTTTTACTTTTCCTAGATTCTTGTCTCGTCCCAATCATGGGTGACCACTTGTATTTCTATCCTATGCATTCTCTTGCTTCCCTCCTTGCCTCTAATTTCATACTGATACGGGCTTATCTACACTTCCTCTGTACCAAGCCTGGGAGCTCCCATTTGCACATGCGCTAGATCCTGGAACTGAGGTAATACAGCTGCATTGGTACCCAAATCGCTCTCGTGATGTCTGTCTTGAGAGTTCTGACCAGTGTAATTTCACAGCTGTTCTAAAGTGATGCATTGTTTGATTTCAGGGAGTTGATATGCACCAAGTGGGTGGGGAGTGATTCCCAGCAGTGCTCTGTATACTACTAGGAATTGCACAGCTGATATTTTGGGGGGCCTAATATTCAATTAGGCAATTCCAAGGTCCACCCTCCAGGTCCTAGGATAGTAGGATGAGCAGTGCCACCCTGTGGGATCCTACTGTCATGACCAAGATATCAGGATTTCATGACCTCCACATCAGGAGGCACTACTTCACTGTCGGGGTGGCTAGGAGCTGGAACCAACTTCCAAGGGAAGTAGTGCTTGCCCCTACCCTGGGGGTCTTCAACAGGAGGCTAGACAGCCACCTAGCTGGGGTCATTTGACCTGAGCATCCTTTCCTGCCCATGGCAGGGGGTTGGACTTGATGATCTGCTTAGGTCCCTTCCGACCCTACCTACTATGAAACTATGATGCTTACAGTGTAGCTGAGGACTTTTTGTGGGGCAGTTGCATTGGTATGAGTATAACTGGGTGCACCTAAAACACATGCTTCAGTGTGGGGATGGTTCGAGGGTGCATGGGGCTGCATGACTGGTGGTGCCCTGCTGTGTTTCTGAGGGTACCCACCATGGAGGGCTTGGCAGGACCATCTCATTCTGGGCCTCCTTGACTTAGAACATGCTGCGGACATGCAGGTCCTGATCTGGGATTGCCAGGTTGGGCTGGTAACGAGCAGAGGTGTAACTAACAAGCTTTGTGCCCTGGGCCTTAACCTCCCTATGCCCTGAGGTGTGTGGGGGATCCGCTGAGCACCAGAGCACCAGGAATTAAAGGGGAGTGTTCTCCTCCAGAGCGGAGAGAGGGAACGGGGTGGTCAGTCTCATCTGTCCTAGGGCAGCAGTGACTTGAGTATTGCAGCTGTGTCCGGTACCCAGCCCTTTCAGCTAGGCAGCATGGTACTGTTCTTCTGGCTGACTCCCCACAGCTGGGTAGCACAAGGCTCCACACCACTGCACCCTCAAGCCAGACATCACAAGCTGAGTTTGCAACAAGAGGAGCTGAGCAGGGCATGGCGGGTGGGGCCCCTGCTGGCCTCCTGGCCAGGGCAGCACAAACCCACCCTCCAGACCTAGGCCCTGCCCTTGTCTGGGCCTCCCTTCCTCTCTACACTCACAGCCCTGCTGCCAGTTCTTACATGCTACACAGTGGCTACTTGTGTCACTTCTGGCACAGCTGCCACAGGTTGGCCAGCCCTGATATACATCAGGGAGGGAAAGGAGGGCTGTAGTGCCAGGAGTAACTATTTTAGTGGCTAAGGAGCAAAAGTGAATTAAGAAGCCTATAAATCACATAACACTACATAAGCAACATTACTTATTGATTAAGAATGCTGTTCCCATAGAGGAAGAAGTATTCAGAGTTATGTAAAATGTAAATGTTGTCTTTAGGGCACGTATCCTTTATCCTTGTGTTTGTTCTATCACTTCAGTTTGAAGTTACCTTGGGTTTGGGGTTTTTTTTTTTTCCATAAATACCATATTTTAAAACAATCTGAGATAAGATTCATAAACCTTTGTGTTTGGTACACATAATTAGTGCGAGTGTGCTACTCTCTCAGCATTACTTAGTAGAATTGTTTTAAGAACTATTGAAGTGTTTTGCTGCCACCTTCCCTCTGTATTTACACCTCCTAGATTTTGGTTTATGAGCAGCAAAAGCAAACTGTCACTATTTGCTGTAAATTGAAGCTTTTAATAACTATGTCTGTTCTACAGCATTTGTCAGCTTGAATATTCTGTCAGTAGAAAATAAAAATAGCAGGAAAACTGAACAACAGTGACAGAGAAAATTTATCTGCTTATACTCAAGTAAGGTATAAAATATAAACTTGACCAAGCAGTTAGAATGTTCTTCTCCAATACAGTAAATTAGCATTTGATATCACTAAGAATAAGCTCATGATGCATAGTTGACAAATAAATGAATGAAAGTATTCATATAATTGTGTAAACAAAACACTATTAAAGTACTTCAGCAGTAAGGGCAATAAGGTAGACATTATTTGCCAGACACTTTAGAGTTAGGTGCATTGCTGCACAGAAGGCTGAAGATCCAGTTTTATAGATGCACATAGGAAAACACTTTTGCCCATTAACACAGGCTTTGAAATATTTTATTAAAAAAATTATTATAAAATGTGAGATTTTACATCTTAATGTAAAAGAGATTTCACACACTATTTCTAATATCACTATTTTCTTTAAGGTATAAAAACTCTTAAGTAACGAATGGCTTAAATCAAATAAAAATCGCTTTGATTGTAATTTTTATGTGTACATTGGTTCAAAAGGCTAGTTTCTCTTATAGTTTCTTTCAAAACATTTAACATTTAGAATAAATTTTTCTAAATTTTATCTGCTTCCAAAAGTGATATATATTGTGTGTATGTGTAAAGTTTCTGTAAACTCTTTTCAGGTTTCTTTAATATGGAAGATGAGCACATAAACTCTTTCGCTGCTTTCATCAAAAATAGCCAACTCCTGTTTGAAATAGATTTTCAGCAAAAAATCGTTAAAGATTAGCATACACTTCGATTTTGTAAATGGTGAGATTTCATAAATTAAGACCTTTCCTTATGTGAGAGAGGGAAAGGTTTTTAGTAAACTAAAATTTTATTTGGAAAATTGCATGTCGAGCAAATGCAGTGGAAAAATTGTGAGGAAGTATACATGTACATGCATTGAAAGCTGAATTACCGGTTCAGCTCTTGTAGGGTTGAATTTCTTGTGTGTTCCTGAAGGATTCTTGCAACTCTCTGTACCACATAATCCCCTTGTGGTTTCTGTTTTTAAGCAGATCTATTGGCACAAAATTCAGCATTATAAATCAGTGTAGTGGTCATTTCCACTGCACTTTGACCTAGGGGTTGGTTGTAGTTTAGCCTCACGACCTGATTTGTTGAGGAGGAAGATTTCTGCTTCACGCTCCCTTGAGATCTGTACACAGAGCCTGAGTATTTAGATCCTGGGAAGAATGGGAAGAGTTACTGTCTTGAGGTGAATCTAGGCCCATCTTTATGCATGCTGAGGTTTCGTAGGCCAGGGAACTGTTGGATTTGAACTACATGAGGAATATGGGCACTGGGTAAAGGAAAGCTGTTTATGGAATATGAACCTTTGGGCAGGAAGAGAGACTGAAACATGAACAGTGAGGAACTGGGGTACAGAGTTGGATTTGAACACCTGCCCCCCCCCCCCCCCCCC